CCCCCCCCCCCCCCTTCCCCATTCTATTACTATCTCATCTCGACGTATTGTCAAGTAGCCCTAAAAACCCTGCAATAACAAAGTCAGCAACCAATATGACTCTGAGCTATAGGCGGTCTTAAATGAAGTTCAAGGAGCTTTTGCATTAGTTATATAAAAAAAATCAATACAAAGCAAATGGCCTTAAGTCCCAAGTCATTAAGTTATTGACTTGGGACTTATCTTCTTTGATAAATATGATTAAAGGAGAGAGTTGGATGTTAGAGAAAGAGAAAATATTGATCTAACTTTAAAAGTATTCAAATTTTGGTATGAACTGAAAAATTAATTGGATCAAACCAAACAAAATATAGTTTGACCCAATCTTCTGTACAAAAATTTTATTTTAACTCTAATCAACACTTAAATTTAAAAAATAAAAAATCTTAACGATGAATTAATATTTATTAATTTATTATTTGTTGTATATTACATTAATTGTGAATTTGATGAATAATCATAATTAATGAATTTATTGATTTTATTAATTATTTTTTAATTGAACATTATAGTTCGAAAAAGAAAAAAATTATATATTTAACAAAATTGAACTAAACTAAATATGTTGGATATGATATTGAAATACGACTGGTCCAGTTTAATCTTTGATCTGATCATATATCTCACTTAGTTTAATTTTTTATATGATCTAATCCACTATGATTATTATAATACAAGAAAACACTTGCGAGAAAAGACCTGTCTGCGCGAGCATCACACATCGCGCACGTGGGGTGCAAGGCCGGTATGCGCGTGCGTCCCATCGTGCATCTTGTGTGCACACTATCTGCATAGTAGGCCTGTGCGCAGCACCCTGCACATTGTAGGTCATGTGCGCGGCTAACTAGGGCAGTGTGTTATTGCCTCAGGCAGTACGCGCCGTCTTAAGCAATGTGTTATCGTCATTTGAGAGGCGTGCCTTTATTTTTCTCACTGGCGTCGCGTCACATCATTCGTCAGTGGATCACATCTGTCAGTCGCTGCATCACTTCTTTTCTTATTGACTTTTCTCTCTTCACCAGATTTCACTACTTTATGCAAATCTAACGGTCCTCATTTTTTATAAATAGGGACCTCTCCCTTCTCATTTCCTCATCACTTTCATTTCATTCTTCCATCTTCTAAGAGTAAAAAGAGAGAGTGTGTGATATAAAGAGAGAAGGAGACGAGAAGAAGAAAAAATGTGTGGGAAAAACTTCGAGATTTCGATAAGAAATTTAATATTTATTTTTAAACAATTTAAGAAGCATTTCTATATTTAAAATTATGAAACTTAAACTTATGATTTGCATGATTATGTTTAAATGTTCAAATGAAATAAGTTTTACTTAATAAAACATGTTATATGATCATATATGCAGTTAATGATTTGTATATAATTTTAAATAATATAATTTTTGTGATCAATTACTAAAATATGAAAAGGGAGATTAAGTATGAAATTTATGAAAGATAAGTATATGTATTGACATGCATAATGCATCAAGTGTTTTATTAGACTTTTTATTTCTGAGAAATTTCTGTTTTTTCCCTCCCCCATCTAGTTTGAAAAGATATGAGAAAACCGCTCCCTATAGATGACGTTGTACCATCTGATAAGAGAGGCGATGCGAATTATCTATTAGAGATCACATTTGGCGAAGTACTATCGTGACTATAGACTATTTGATAAAACTACTGTGGTTGATACGACTGTGGTCATAGATTGTTTAATTTGACAAGCCGTAAATGTGTTGTTGGTTTATCAAGCCAAAAATTGTTGTTATCTCTAATCTGGTTATTTCACATAAGTAGTCGAAAATCCGTATCCCTCAGTAGCTGAAAGTCAGAATGATTTTGCGGAATATGACACGAAAATCTGAGTATTTTATAATTTATTTAATTTTTTCAATTATCAATATGATTGATTTGATTATTATGACTATAACATGATGAATATGATATTTTTTTAATAAACAAATTATTTTTATAAATTAAAAAAAGACTCTAATGTGACTCCTGATGGTAAGTGTTGATGATGTAATTATTCACTTTAAAAATTTTATAATGTTATTTAAATACTATTTTTCTTAACGAGTATATAGAACTCACCCTTTCCATGTCCCTCCCAGATGAGAAAGATAGTGAAGAACCGATTGTTAACATACCTCTTGAAGTTTATGAAGATCCCTTGGATCCACAAACTTTAAGTGAATGACTTATCTCGTACTCTAATGAGTCCATTCACATAGTGAAAGAAATGACCATTTTTGTATTTTGATATTTTATATTTTGTTACCACTTATGACCTCAATTATATATGTAATTAGAACTTATATATTTTGATAAGAGATTTGTAATAATTTATTCTGCTGCATATAATTATCTATCATGCACTCGTAATCTATTTATGTATCTGATACTTTTATACCTTAATTAACATTTGACATGTTACAATTATGGAGTAATGAATATCCTTACTGACATACACATTTAGAGTTCTTAATTACTAGATATGATTTCAAGTGTACGATAGGTAATGTTTATGCATTATTTTAAGACCCAAACCAATCCACTTGATGCTTGTCACATCCAATCAACCATTATAATCTTTCTTCAATGGTGATACACTACTCTTAATTAATGAATTAAATACTTCCCTCTCTTCAACATCATAATTTTTTCCGTACTAGATTATTGATAGATTTTATTAAGTTATTACAGCTTGGTCTTCTCGATATAAACTACCTCAAATTTTGGTAGAAAGGACAATAGAGGAAGTTGTCAACACGTAAAATTCATTATGTGATAAATGTAAGTGCATTTTGAGAAATAATTTTGAATCATTTTCCCAATTTTTTTTGAATCAATAATTAAAATGATAAATAATTTTTTATAATGTATTATTAATAAACTTCATTTGCCCATTTAAAAATAAATTAGTAAAATTATTCGTACGGTACACGTGTCCGCAGCCGAAAATTTCTTGGATGATAACTTTCATAAGGTTGAGAAACGTCATCACAAAATATTAATAAAATTAAATTAAAATTAAAAGAAGTAAAAGAAAGAAAAGTGAAGAGCAGAAAGGCAGCAAAATGGCTGCGATATCCTCGACAGTCACCATATGCAGTTGCCGTAAAACCTGGTTTTTTCACAATCCAAACACATTCCCAAAGCAATCCATTTTCTTGGCAACGAATAGACGTAGCTTTTCTGTGAGCAACTCGGTGGATGCAAATGCATCATCCGCTCAGACTGAATCCGCAGATGTGGAATCTCAGAGCCCAATTGAAACTCCTCAAGGAACCCCGTCTTTGATTTCTGCTCTCAATGTCGAACGCGCTTTACGTGGCATAGGTTTTCTTTTCTTATTTTTTCTTTTTTTTTTTTCATTTAGATTATTATTATTATATTTTTTAAAGATCTTATAGTTTTGATGAGTAGTTATACTGCTTTCAACCTAGTTAAAATTTTCAAAGAATTAGTTTTAGACAGAATTCAAGTAAATATACTTTCAATGTGTGTATATATGTGGGAGATTTTAATTTGCTATATTTAGCGTTGGATTCGTTGAAATTGTATAGATACGAAGTAATGCAATTTTGTATTAGAATGCAGCAATAACAGATGTAGATCATTATGGTAGACTTGGGCTTCTGAGAGGATGCTCCTATGATCAGGCATACCTTTTTAATTATTTTAATTTTCGTTGTTTGTATTATTTAAACGGTGAGAAACTTGATCCTCACTTCTATTCAATCTGTCTATATATGATATTATTTTCTTACTTGAAAAATTATTGAAAGCAGATTGCAGATGCTTATAGGAAAAACATTGAGGAGGTAATGAATCGAGGATTGGAGGAAGAAGAGGTCCAAAAGGAAATGGAACTTTTGAATGTTAGCATCTCCTAATCACTCTGGTTTTGTTGTTTGTGGAAATTTGGTTTTATGCGTAATGAGGTGTTGACATTGCAGGAATCACATTCGATTTTGTCATCGGTTGAGGAAAGAAGAATGTATGATTGGAGCCTGGCCCGGAGCGAAGCGCCTGATAGATATGTTTGGCCCTTCGAGATAGACATCACTCAAACTCCTACTCAACCTCCTCCCCCCCAGGTCTGCAACCTATTTTCCCTGCCTCTTTCAAATTAAGAAAATTTTATAATATTTATTGCTTTTAACGATATATATATATATTGGGAGTGACTCTTGTTTCTTATGTTGTTCAAATGTAGATTAGGAATGTATTTATATTGAGTTTAGTCCAAATTCCAGATCTAGGAATAAGAATAAGAATAAGAATACAATACAAATAGGACAGAAATTTGAATAAAACATTGTAATAAATTTCATGTTCAATTCAAGTTAGTTATTTTGTAATTCATTTCTTACTATGTGGGAATACAAATTGATGGTTGTGGGATTGAGGATATCAGTGAATTTGATTCAGTTATTTATTAAATATGTAAAGTATGAGTAGATTATACGTATCAAATAATTAAAATCTAGAAGTTAAATAGAAGTAGAATGAGTTTAAATCAAATGCAATATTATTGTATTTAATATCTGTTCTTTCTTATCGACCACCCAAATTTGGAATCTGTTGTGTGTGTGTGTGTGTGTGTGTGTGTGTGTATGCCATTGACAAGATAAACAGAACATGCAATTAATTTGCCTTAATTTTTTACCTGGTATTAAAGCAGTCCAGGTGGTTTTTTTTTTTCTTTTCTACAAAATTTCCTCTTTCATTTCCATTCCTTCTCTCTCACCCTTGTTCTTCCAAAAGTACTTAATCCTTCCTATGGGTCTCAAACATAAAGACCTATGTTAAGAGACTCTCAAGTTCATCAACTTTATTGTTTGGAAATCTATTTCTTCTCCTTTTCACACATAAAGGAGTCGTAAATCATTGATGGTCCTGGCATTTATCCTCCTCTCATGATCAAAGGTGATCTAGAGGAAGTCTTAATTCATGCCAAAATGTTCTTCTTTGACGTCAAGTTGATTCCCTAGTTCTCTTGGTGGAGACAAGCCACCATCTCATTCGACATACTCTGTTGTCTTCTGAAACCAAACAAAACCCTTGCCACTCGCCAAGTTTTGAAGGAAATTGAAATTTTTTTCCATGATCCAGCCCTGCCTCCCTCCATTTAAAATGAGTTTTATAATGCCTAAATAATGATCTTCCTGTTGATGGTTACTTGTAGAAATTAAAATCCCTTTATAACTGCTTGGTCTCCATCGGACATGATCTTTTGGAAGAGGATCTTGTTTTGCGAATTCTTGAAGGCTTATCTATGGACTCTGAGAACACAATTATTACTGTAACTTCCAGCTAACTTCTTCCATCTCTTGTCAATCTGAGGACGATATTATTCCGTCAAGAAATGACACTTGCAAAACACCGGAAACCTCTCTTCTATTGATCCTATAGCTGCCTTCTCAAATGGTTCCTCTCAACCCCAAATTTACCAGTATGGATCCCATTAAATGTGGCTAGCAATACTTAAACAGAGATCGAGGGCATGAGCATGACTTGACCACAACAACCACTCTCATGTTGGTTGTAGTCACCACAGGAATGATTTAGGGTGTACGATATAGCCACTAAAAGCCTTATCATCACTATCATAAGTCGGCTCAAAATGGCACTTGTTTGCAGTGCTTTGATCCAAAACCCTGGAATTGTTGTTCTTTAGTGGCATTTCTAGGATGCAAATGCTGCTTCTCTTAATCTTTGCCACGTCAGGTCTTTTCGTGAAAAACTGGTTATTCTCAACCTAGAGTGGAATCTGTGTTTTGGAAATGCCGCTAATGACCTTTGTAACATAGTGACATTTGCTCCTCAAAATACCAGCCATTTTTTTAAGCTATATATATATATATATGCACATTATATGGTGTATTAATTCTGCTTCTTATAGTTTTCAATCGTTATTTTCATACAATATTCGATGTAATACATTAAACTCAATAATCAAACTAGTAAAAGAACTTAAAAAAAGAGTGTTGATGCTTCTCTAAAAATAAAGGACCAGTACACGAAAGTAACAGATATACCACCAAAGTATCAGGGTAAACTACAATATCCATGACTTCAGTTGCTGCAAGCTAAACTATCTATAAGTTCAACAAATACAAGGTAAAATTTCCCAATTCTATAATTTTTATCCAAAGTTATATATCTAAAAAAAGCATGATAATTATTTTGCATTAAAGGCGAGTTATGATTAACATCAATTGTGTGTATTTCCCTGAACTTCAGAAGCTCCCACCTATAAATAAGCCATAGAAAGATTTAAACTGGAGTTAAAAAACTATCCAAGCTTCGTCATGTGCAACTTGTTTATAGTAACTCTAACATGGACGTGATAAAATGTGCATATATATACCATACAAACAGTAAATTATGTTTCTAGTAACAAGTAGAGAGACAAATGACCAGAACATGATGTAACCTCATATGAATTCCATGCTGAAGGAGATAAAAGAGAAGTTAAAAGCATAACAAAGCCTTAAATTTTTGTTTCCAGAAAATAATTGTTACCATAGAACGGCTTTTTTGAAAACAACAGAAACAGCGTTGTCTCTGCCAAACTTGTGCAATTTTTAGTGGTCTAATTCTGGCAGAAAACACAATGTTAGTTTCTGCGTGCAGAACACTTTTTGCAAAAACCGCACTGTTTCAGCATAAGAAACTTGAATTTCTGCAGAAACAGTGAAGTCCTCAAGAAACTGTATCATAATTTACGGATCAATGCTGTTTCTGTACTCTTTTGCTGTCTCTGCATTTCTAAGGTTACTGCAGAAAATTCTTACGACACTCAATAAGCACATACACCATCTATGCTTACAATAAGTCAAGTGTAAAATGGTTTACATTCGCCATAGTTTTAGTTAATTGACTCTTTTCCTGGCTCAATTTATTTCTCTTTGGAAAATAGCATTGTATAATCTAAATCTTTTGCCTTGAGTTTAGGCAAAAATCTATATAAGCTCCAAGGTCAAGTGATTGGCGCCTTTTAACATTTTAGGTGTTAGGGGCATTTAGACTGATATGCTGTGAGATTGTTTCAATAGAGTAGGCTAAATAAAAGCTTATAATATTTTACTAAATTGCTGCAAATAAAACGCCCCTGATGCTTATACTTTTTGTAGTGAGTCCATGATCCCCCTATAACCATCAACACCAATAAGTTCAGCTACTTCCTATTCTTCTCTAGACTCAAGTTTGCTTGGCTGTGCACCTGCTAATTCTGTGCTTTTCTGTGCTTTTCTCTACTATTCATTGTCAACCCTATCTTCAGTTCAGTCATGTTGCTTAGGAATGTCCTATTTGTTTCGATCTCAAACTGCTTGTGCTGCATCTAATTTGGATAATGTTCAATGATCAGCAATAGCAGGATAATTTTATGCTTTCTGACACAGGTGCAACATCCCTCATGACTGCTTATTCCAGTGATCTTCTATCTTCTTCCTCTTACCCCGATCCTCGGCGGGTGATGTTTGGGGAGGGTCCTCTCCATGCTGTTGTCTCTTATTGGTTTCCCCAACATTTCTACTCCTTTCAAATCTTTAATACTCATACATCCAATAAAGGGGACGTCATGCGGCATTGAGTGGTGGAAAAGTATGGAACAAGTGACCTGACAGGTTGCAAGACTTGGCATAGGTGACGCTGATAGGTACCAGTAGGACACTGTATAATGAAATCAGTTAAACCTACCCTAACTAAAAGCCCTAAAGTCTGGTTTTAAAGGTCTGATTATTAACACTTGATACTCACCACCAGACCATCACTTTCGACATTACGTAGATGCCATAACCATGCAAGTACTATGGACGATACAACTATTACAATAAGAGGTTAATACATTAACTTGCTCTTGTCTTGTAATATTATGAAACCGGACTATATAAAGATAACCAAATAAAAGGTTGCAAAAAACATTCTCTCGAACTCTCTTAAGCTTGTATTTTCTTTTCTTTTCACTAATTTGAGTAAGTGTACTCCTTGGAGTAAAACTTGGATGTCACTGTTTTTTCATCCTAACAGGGTTAGGAGACGTGAGGCTATTCCAACCTAGGCCTAGAACTTGTTAGACCTAATGTTAGTTAAACTTAGACAAAGACTCAAGGGACCAACATACAACTTCTATCATGCTTGGTCACATTTTTTAGCCTTCAAACTTTTTTGATATTAACAGTTGACACCATATGTGGAACGAAGGAGTAACCTTGATGACTAGCAAAAATGCAGTACAAAGATAAAAAGAGATCCCGAAATACCATGGTGAAAAATTTGCTTCGCCCACAGTTTTATTTCTTGGAAAGAGTAGGATGATTTTGCTGGGTAGTGGAAGAAAGAAACTACAATATTGAAGCTTTAGAATGTCCTGACAAATTTAAGGAGGCAGCTGTAATCCTTCATTAAGCGTTGTGTTAAGTACTGCACGTATGTGTGCCTACACATATATGTATATATGTGAATTTATCATAATTTTGCCTTTGATATATAAAAACATTATTTTACTATCAAAACTAATAGTTTGAAGAAAAAATGTATAAGTAGTACTGAAGTTGTAATTTGTTATGACCAGAAGATGGGTTTTTGGTGACAGGAACCAGAAGACGTTGGACCAACAAGATTAGTGGGATACTTCACACTCGGCTGGTTATTATTAGCCTTTACGCTTTCCATTGCCCTGAATCGTTAGCATTATTTGTGTGTGTGTGTATAGATTGATTAATACTCAATTATTCTAATTATAGTATCAAATTATAATGCCAAGATTATTTTCATATTTACATGGAAGATTGGCAGTAGAATTAAAAATCTAACAAAGGCAAGGCGAGGCAAGGTAAGGCTTCTTATCTATATCATAATTTTATTTATTTATTTATCTTGCAAGGGAAGAGAATATAAATAGCTAAGTCATGTTCCTACACTCTTTTTTTTTTTTTTTTTTAGAAATTTACTTTCTTAGATAAACTTTAAAATGATTTAGCTAAAATCCTACCATCCCCTAATTGTCAAAGCCCATGCATGAGGTGTTTTTACCAGCAGAAAATTTTGAGGAGGATGAAGAGTAATTTCCCATGATTCTGATCTGATATTGTCAAAGCAAATTTTTTTTTGAATTTTTGGGATTAACCTTAGTGGTGATTTCAGCTGTATTTATGCAATGAAAAACAATTTAAACAAAATACAAGTTCTTCAACTCCAATGTATTTTTGTAACAGCCATGACATCTTTAACATTTTTCCTAGAAGGTTACTCACACTTAGCTTAGCTTAATCGAATGTATCCTTAACTGTTGATATCTCGATAAATCCTGCACAAAAAGACAAGAAGCTTCAACTCCTGGGTCTGTAGTCATGTTTAAGGGTAGACAAAGATGGAGAAAATCTAGTTGAGGTAGCGACACCAGCCTTGTGCTAGGGACCTTGTCAAATATGTACAAGCTTGAGGGGGATAGGTCTAAAACCATACTTAAAAGCATATATAAAAGATGATTTGTAGATCATGATATGCTGAAAGGCATCCTCTTAGCCTTTTGTTCTAGCACAAAACCCCATTTGGTGAAATGTAATGTATTTTTGAAACTTTTTTTTTACCCTCCTAGGACAAAGAATGGAGCTACCAAAATCTTATGCTTTTAAGTTTTCAAGATCAAGGGCAAACATCTTCAAGTCAGTTTTTTTTTTTTTTTTTTTTTAGTTTGAAGATAAGGTTAAAAAAATTCACTAATTGTTTCAACCTAAAAGGGCTAACAAATTTTAGTATCTATTAAGGATGAACAACACTTGTCTACTCCATAGTGGACAAATAGATATATCTTTGTCAAGCAAACCTAATATGTCCACCATGGGCGGATACATACATACAAAAAAAAAAAAAAAAAGAAACTTATAGATAGAATGTTTTCCATCCAAAGATGAATTTTGAGATTATCATGATAAGCTTAAAAGTATATGGAATCAAGACTTATAGTATTTATCCAGCCTAAACCAGTACTTATTAGACCTAAGTTTATCTAAGATTGGGTCGAGACTTATTTAAGCAGCAACAAGCTCTTTTAGCCTTTGACTCCATCTTGTTCAACAAATGGTATTAATTAAAAATTGCTTAAATGAATCTTATTTTATCAATGAAACAAAGTACAACTAAAAACAATACAAGTTAAGAATTGTTCTGCCTCTATTTAAATTTAAATAGATCCTAATTTTGTTAATCTTGCATTTATTTTTAAATAAATCTCATCTCAATATTTATAATCAATGCAACCAACTTGGGATGGTGAACAAACCTGGATCCAAGAAGAAACAAAATACCTAAAATCTCATACATATATAATTGGTTTTAATTAATTACAGAATAGGTATATACGTGTATTTATAATTAAAAAAAAAAATGGAAATCCATGCACACGATTACCACGCATATGTATATATATATATATATGTATATGTATATGTATTTAAAATTTTAAAAAAGGGTTTCCTTAGGGATCACGGCCATGGATTTGATGCTTAGTATTTTACACTGGCCTGGAACTGAAGCAAGTGATGATAGTCAACTTGAACAACCTTCAAGGCACGTATTCTTGGCTTTGTGTACATAACACGCTGACCTGAGTTTTCCACCACGAATTTCATCAAACTTAGCGCTTAATATTTATTATTTAAGTTTGCCAAAACGATTCGTATTGGCTTCTTTTTTCATGTTCCTTCGCATCATAAAAATTAATATCAATGGAAAAGAATATGAATTTTCAACTCAAAGCTTTTTATAAAAATAACAGTAATGATAATAAAACACCGGCATTAATGGGAGGTGAGAGCTGGTCAATAATGAAAGATTTTTCAGTACTGTGATTAATTTTCTTTTTTTAAAATTCCAAGTTGATGTAGGTCAGATTTATGGAATCAAGAAGAACCCATATTTTAATGTTGAAGGTAGCAATATAATTAATGAGAAAACAAAAGAGTATATTAAGGAGATCAATGAGCAGGTTAAGTAATAGAAGGATGTTGTAAGTGAGAAATTAAGCAAGGTGGTGAAATGGGCAGAAAAGCGTTGTGCTCCAAGAATGGAATGAAGAAAGGAGCTTGGACAGCCATGGAGGATCAAATTCTCACGGATTACATCAAAATTCATGGAGAAGGAAAATGGGGAAACATCCCCATCCAAACCGGTAAGTTTCCGTATGTGTCTCTATTGACACAAGAATAGAGCAAAACTTGTATTATGAGTTGTTAGTTCTGCGAAAATAAAAAATATCTTTGCTTGAGTTACACATTCTTAATTCTATATATCTAAATAATAATAAAAAAAGACAATATTTTACAATATCTTTTTATTAATAAGTTATGAATTTGGTTTATCAGGGTTAAAAAGATGTGGAAAAAGTTGCAGACTTAGATGGTTAAATTATCTAAAACCCGACATCAAGAGAGGTAATATATCTGAAGAAGAAGAGGATCTCATCATTAGACTTCATAAACTTTTAGGCAACAGGTTTTTTTTTTTCCCCTCTAATTACCTTTTAGTTTTTTTTTATTCAAATAGAATTTTATATAAATAACATACTTTTACTAATGTATGTTTTTTTTTAATAGATGGTCCCTTATAGCAGGTCGACTTCCGGGGCGAACAGATAACGAAATAAAAAATTATTGGAACACTACTTTGGCAAAAAAAATAAAATCAAATGAACAATCTAAAGATAAAGAGTTACAAATCAATCAAAGAAAAGATCTATCTCTTGATAGTTGCACCACAGTATCGAATACTCCCAAGCCCTCGTATGAGAATAGTTATTTAGAATTTGATAGTGGAGATCAATTCTTGTTCTCAGATATTTCTGACTTTGAATTTTGGAAGATTTCTCAGTTTTTCTCCGGATCAATATAATTTTTTGTTATCTGAAGATGATCAGAACTTGAATAACACCATCTTTAATAATAGATTATAATTTTTTATTTTTTTTAATAACTTTAATCTAAATTAGAGAATAAGTACTACTTCATGTCTCTATTTTTTTTTATATGCTAAATAACAGTACAATTCTTAATTAGTTTGATCACCAACTAATTTGGAGTTGAGATATTAATGAATATTTATTTGTTTAATTTGTATTTGAAATAGAGTTACGATAATAATTGACAAAAGATAATTAGTTTTAGACAATAATATTTACAGTATATTCCATCTCATTTGTATTCTTCATGAACCTACTAATTTATTATTTTTTTGGAGAGGAGAAATGGGAAGTTGAATATAACTTATCACTTAAATGCAATATCTTGAATAAATTTAAAAATATTTTACAATTCATACTTATTTTAGATAGAAGATGATACAAATTATATTAATATAACAAAAAATATTGCCTCATATGAAAATCAATGTAAAATTTGAATGTTGCATTCTATAATTTCAATTACACTCTCTATTGGGGTTAACTATTAGAGGGGATTTGATAAGGTACATGTGGATATAGCCGATGAAATTTGATAAAGAGATTTCAGCCGTTGGATGTAATTGTACATAGAGATGTGTGGTGGGAGTAGGACCCACAAATATTAATGAGGTGGGGAGCATGAGGACAGACGACTGTACTCAATTCACGTGCGCATCAATTATATACTTCCAAAACCACTGAGACTCATCACAGGCTGAAAAGCTTGCAGACACGTGTCAAGCTGTCCCGAATCACATAAAACTACGCCGTACTGGGCCCTCTCCCAGATTTTCCGGCAATTGCATTTGCCTCTTTTTTGTACCTCTTCGCCCCCTGTTCTTTGAAGTCGACCCATCATATCAGATTATTCCATGTCAGTGTCTTTTCGTTTTTTTTTTTTTTCACAAATATATTTATGAAATTGACTAATTCACCGACTATATATATATATATATATATATATATATATATATATACCACTATTGTTTTTAGAACAAATTAAATGATAGTTTGTAAAAAACGAGAGGGACACAATTCTGTAAAACTGAGAGTTTGTAATGAATCATCATTAATCTATTTGAAATGAGTTCAAACACAAAAAACTTACACTTGTCTAAATAAGAAAAATCAAGTTCGGCAAAATAAAACTAGATTAGGAGTATCACATTCACTAGTGACATAAGCTTTTACATTAGTTACAAAGAAATGTTCACAAAATAAACTAAAATAACTAAAATTATATATAATAAATCAAGTGGTCAAAATAAAAACTCAGTATAAATTATCAATAATGTAAAGAAAACTTCTTAAACCTACATTATTTGTCAAAATCACACGGTGATTATGCTTTTTTTATTTGTTTTTTTTTTCTAATACAAATGAAAAACAACCAAGAGAGTTAACGAAAATAATCAGATATGGGTATTACATAATTTAGGCTAGAAAACACTAATGATATCCTCACAGAAAATGCTCAGGAGACTAGGAGGGGATTGCAGTAAAGAATGACCCCCCATGGACCATTCATAAGTCAAGTTCGCTAAGTAGTCAATACTTCTATTATCATCCTCATATGTATGTTGTACTCTCACAGTCCAATCTTTTGTGAGACAAATCCTAATTGCAAATAAAAGGTTGGAATTTATATTTGTGCAAACCATTTCGTTATTGATCATCTTGTTCAAAAGTTGAATAATGATGACACTATCCATCTCCAGAATAACATGACGCGATCTAAGGTTCTAAGCAAACTCGAGCTCCTCCAAGGCACCCCAAAGCTCTGCCTGGAGAACAAAACAAGACCCAATTTTTTGAAACCGATCACCTAGCCAATGTCCTACACTATCCCGACCAATTGCACCAATACATGCAACGTCACTGTTCTTGTGGAGGGCCCCATCCGTTTTGATCTTAATTCAGTCCAGGGGTGGCAGATGCCAACTAACTAACCTCTCGTTTTTTTGGCTATGGCGGTCCGATAGCTTGGAACTAAAGTTGGAAGCTTGAAATGTATACTCTATCATCCTGAAAATCTTCTGTCTTAACTCATCTACACTGAGCGGCTGAACATTAAAGACCAGGGCATTATGTTGCTTCCATAATAACCAGCAAGTGATGTCAAAAACAATCGTCAAGTCTTGAAAAGAAGAGCACCAACTATATTGATTCTGTAAGTTAGTGCATAGCCAATTGTCAAAGGTCATGCTGAAGAAAGAGTGGGTGTTCGTGCGTGGAATAATCTTCTGCTAATCTTCTGCCATAGAGCCTGCGCTCGATGACACTCCCTTAGGACATGGTTGATATCCTCAATGCCATGACCACACGTCATGCAACCCGGATCATCTGCCATATGTCGTTGGACCCTTTTTGTATTAGTAAAGGAGCTCTCTCCTAAGAATCAGCCATAAGAAATACTGAATATGCTATGCGTCCGGCCAACTCTATGTGAGATTCCACCTCTTATCTACAAAAAGAGAAGAAATGTCAATAATCCTATGATAAGCAGTTTTGACAGAAAATTTACCATCTGAAGAGACGCCCTAGTAGGGTACATCGGCCCCTAAGCCCTCATGCGGAACCCTCGCCGCTACCACTTGCAGAAGGATCTTAATTGGGAGCCTGTTTTATAGCCAGTGCCAATTCCATTGACTATGCCGAGTGACCAAATCCTTAGCCGTTTGAGCTTTGCTAGAATCATTAAGTGCTTAGTAGGCAAGGAGTTTAAGTGGCCCGTAACCCCCGAACCAATTATACTCCCATAACTGCACTGTTATGTCGTCCCCGATTTGCCAAACCAACCCTACGCGGACATCCTCCCAAAGGCCACTTAACTTTCTCCAAAGGTGGGAGCAAGGACCAGAATATTTGGTCACACCATCAAGAAGATCCCACTTATACTTATGCTGTAGAACCTTAACCCAAAGGAGATGCGGCTGAGCAATAATATTGAAATAAACTTTCATAAGAAAGACTTTATTGAGGCTTTTAAGATTCATGATACTATCGCCCCCATGCGTGATAGGCTAACACATATCATGCCAGCTAATGAGACTTCTCTTCCTCGTACCGCTGGAGGAGCCCCAAATGAAATCCCACACTAACTGGTCAATCTGATCACATAAAGAGCTAAAGATCATGATAGTTTGCATGGCATAGGTGGGGATCGTCATGAGCATAAACTTAGCGAGGGTAAGCTTGCTAGCCATCGACAAATTAATAGCTTTTCACCCAGAAAGCCTCCTACATACATTGTCCAAAATGTACCTGTAGGTAGCTTTAGTGACCCTAGTAAGAGAGGAACCCCCAAATACGTACCTGGGTTATTGGAAGTCTAGAACCCAAAAACAGAACTAATACGAGAAACCTCCCCATAAAAAATGTTATGGGAGAAAAAGATGCGCATATTGGACATGCTAATCTTGTGTTCGGAGCTCCGACAGAACTCGTCAAACACCATCTTGATAAGTTGCACTTGACTACCGGAGACCTTACTAAAAAAGATCAGGTCATTTGTAAAGAAGATGTGCGAAAGCTAAGAGCCCCCCACACTCAGGGTAATCGGACGCCAATTTCCACGATGGACTAACTGATCGATGTATTGAGATAAATGCTCCATATACAAAATAAAGATATATGGCGAGAGGGGGTCACCTTGCCGGATGCCCCGTAAGGGAGTGAACTCCTTCGTGGTCGCACTGTTCCAGAGGAGTTGCATGGAGCCAGAATTGATGCAATGCATGATGGTTCGAATCATATTATGGGGGAGGCTGGCATCACGGAGAGTTTCTTCAATGGACCCCCAACTGAGCCTGTCATAAGCCTTCTCCAAATTCACTTTAATCGCCATCCAACCTATCTTTCCCTTCTCCAAGTCCACTTAAATTGCCTTTCTTGCACTTCGTCGAGATGCTCTGGCCCTTAATGAAACTTGCTTGCGTTTCAGTTATTAGTCTAGACATAATATTATTGAGTTTGTTAGCAATGACCTTGGTGATAATTTTATATGAGACATTAAGCAAACTTATGGGTCAAAATTCTTTTATAGACTTGGGATTATCCACTTTAGGGATTCGAGTAATTAAGGTTTTGTTCTGGCCAGACTCTAACTCGCCGCTTTGAAAGATTTTAGTAGCCATGACATAGACCAAATCGCCAACAACATCCCAATAATACTGAAAAAAGACGGCAAGGAAGCCGTCTAGCCCAGCCCAGGCGCTTTGAGGGGTTTTATGTCAAAAAGAGCCACCCGGATCTCCTCCCTGGTGACTGGCCTACTTAGGACAACGACAGTGTCAGAACTGAGAGCAGGGAACCTACCCTGAATTGTGAAAACAGGCATATTAGACGCCCCCTCGCAATATAGGTTCTGAAAGAATGCAATAGCCATATGGCTGATATGACTTTCGTCTAAGATCTAATTCCCATCTTGTCTTGGAGCATAAGAATCCTACTGCGTCGCCGCCTAGCCATCGTACACGCATGTAGTAGGCAATATTCTTATCCCCTAGAGAGATGAACTCACGCCTCGACTTCTGCATCCAATAGATTTCCTCTTGTAAGAGGAACACCTTGAGCTCATGACGGATAGACACCTCAAGCCTATTTAGATACTCAGAGTAGGAAGATTCAAGAGCCTTCTGGATACAATTGATACGAGCCATTAACCGCATCTTCCTACAGAATATATTACTGAAAACCATAGTGTTCCGAGTCTTAGCGTGGTGAGAGAAGTTATCCACAGCGGCTTAAAATGAAGCAACACATTCTCCGAATAAAAATAGGAAACTTAGAGCTCGGCGTATAGTGCATCTTAGAACATATGAGAAGAGGTCTGTGATCAAACTGGATCTTAAGAAGGTGTTGTACGAAGGAGTTCGAAAACTTATCAAGCCATGAAGATTAACAAGGGCCCGATTAAGGCGTTTGAGCAGAGTTTCCCATCGCCTAATGA